ACATTTTGGGTATTTTTTTTTTTTAGTGAATCAGATTCAAAAACGTTTATTCTCCAGTGTTTTGCAACTTTGGGTGAAGAATCAGGGAGGCACATGCACCCTGCTCTATCTGATTGACATTCACCCATCTGCAAAGGCCCAGCAAAAGGCCCACGTGCAATTTAAATCCCCTTCACAACAGGTCTCGTACTCTTCCTCTGTCAACAAGAATGGTCAGACAAAGAGAATTACCCTCCTGCGGGAAATTCTGGCATTTCCACATTTGTTTTCATGCCCCAATAGTCCAACTGTAGGAATGTTTCATGGAACTGAAAGTTCCGAAAGCATTTCAATTCAAAAACATTTCCGTTCAACATTTTTCAATCAAAACATTTAGTTTCCAGTCAGGTCAACATTAATCTCTATGTCCACTAGAGCCACTGTGGTGCCTCATGGGAGTTGTGGTTCCAAACCACTCATGCCCCCTTTCTCTTATATGGGCCCTGCTCGCTGGCCGGACTATATCTCCCATGACGCACTGCAATCTTTCCCTGATGCTGAGCCATTTTGAAATTTTTTCACCAACCCTAATTCTACCCTCTGTGAGCCTGAATCCCTCCCCTTTGTTTGAGGAGAAGAATAAGAAGAGTCTCCAACAGACGTTTCCCTCTCCCATGGGTTTTTCCACAGGGAGAGACATGATCTAGCCCTGAGACAGAAATAAGTGTCAGCCAATACACGTTGGAAGAGCAGCTGGGGATGAATGGGAGGAACTGGCAGTGGGAAACTTATTTTATAATTTGGGGAGGGCACAAAATGAAATGAGAAACCTACTCGGTGAGAAAACTGACTGGCAGACGCAGTACAAGAAAAAGGAGGCCCATGTGCTGTTAATTGCCAAATTCCAAAAGCTTGACTCCCTTGGAATATTTAACTCTGCTTTTATTAATTATTTTTAAAGAATGGGAAAAGGGACCTTGTGTCAAAAATAATTATCTCAGTAAGATAACACCTAGTCCTTATGCAGTGCTTTTTCATCAGTAGGCCTCAAAGCACTATACAAAAGCGGTCAGGATCACCATCCCTGTTTTTCAGATGGGGAAACTGAGGCACAGGAAGGCAAAGATAGTTGCCAAAAGTCACACAGTGGGCCAGAAATAGAACAGAGGTCCCTGTTCAGGGTGCTATCTACCAGGCCACATTGCAAAGACAAGCTAGTATGCTACTGGAGCTAAATTTATATCTCAGAGTTTAAAGTACATTTTGGCCAGAAAACGTTATCTGTATACGGAGATGACCTAGCTGTAGGTAGAAATAACTCCGCTTAGTCTCTTACCGATTTTTCAACCACTGCATTTTTGAACACTTTGCAAACAGAGAAATAGGAATCCTTTTTGCAAATCAAATAACACAAACAGCTCTGTTGACTAATCACATTCCCACAAGAAGGCAGCCCAGTTAGGCAATGGAATTTCCATTCCAATGCATCGAATGTCGATAACCAACATTCAGGATTAATGTCAATGAGCCACGTAAACATACGTCGTTGACTTAAAGATTCTGGTGGAGATTTTACAAGGGGATTTGGAGGGTTCAGTTCCCATTTAAACTAGTGGGAACCGGTCACCAAAATCCCTTAGATGCTTGGAATAGAAGAGGCTGATATTTTCAATCAGCTGGAGAAAATAGCTGTCTAGAGTTTTACACTGTTGCTTTGCAGAGTCTGTCAACATCTCAGCAGTACACCACGCTTCATTGCTTCAGTTTTCAAAATAGTATCATCTTTACAGATTTTATGCGATGAGAAACACAGGGATATAAATCTAGTTGCCTCGTGCAAACAGATTTTATGGTTCACCCTATCGTGTAGATACAATAGCTGGAGGGGTTAGTAAAAATGTAATTCACTAACTTCATAGTAATTAGAAATGGAAAAGACCTATTAAAACACCAAGTTCAGCCTCTTGCAAAGGAAGAAGAGAGTCCCCTGATGGAGACTCTGTGAGATGTTCATAGAATCCAAGATTTTAAAACTCAAAGGGTCACCTAGGCGTAATGCAGGCCAAAGAATTTCACCCAGAAATTCGCGCATCAAGCCCCTATTAAAAAATGATTTTACGTCAGGGACACCCTAGCAGATTATGCTGGTCATGGGGACTGTCCTGGTTAAGGCCCTGATTCATTCAAACACTTAAATATGCACTTAAGTCCCTCAATAGGGCTTAAGCATATGCTTAAAGCTAAGCATGTTTTTAAGTGTTTTGCAGAATCAGGGCCTAAGGGTATGTCTATACTACCCACCGGATCGGCGGGCAGCGATCAATCCAGCGGGGGTTGATTTATCGCATCTAGTCTAGACGCGATAAATCGACCCCCGAGCGCTCTCTCGTTGACTCCTGTTCTCCACCGGCGAGAGACGGGGGAGCGGCAGCAGTCGACTCACCGCAATGAAGACACCGCAGTGAGTAGATCTAAGTACATCGACTTCAGCTAGTGTAGGCCAGGCCTAAGAGAAGACACCATTTAAAGAGGTATATTTAATCCCCCAAATTAAAAGGAAATAACATGCTGGCCTGAATTAAAGGGCAAGAACTGAAATAATAGAAATCCCTGTTTCTCAGTCGTATTTCTTCTTTGTTTGGCCATGGAGGGCCAAATTCTGTTGCGACTTAAAATCACGGCCCAAACTCCAAGATTCGGCCCTTAACGAAAACCCAGGAACTCAGAATTTCCCACTTATTTAAAACCTAGTTAAATACCAGTTATTGGCTGGCGGCAGGACTCAGTGAATTACACATGCTGCTTGGAGTCAGGTGATCTAGGTTTTGTTCCCCAGCTCTGATCTTGAACAAGTTGCAAACTCTCCGTCCTTCACCTGGTTCCTCTGGAAAATAAGCATAACATCAGTGCCTCTTATCATCCCCCTTTTAAATATAATTGATGCAAAATGCAAACTATCTCTTAAAAATGCCTGGGCAAAACTAGCTGAGCTGGAGGAAGCCATTAAGCAGAATGTATGACAATTCCCTCCTGGCATATCCACGGTCAGGGCCGGCGCCTCCATTCAGGCGACCTAGGCGGTCGCCTAGGGCACCAGGATTTGGAGGGGCGGCATTTTGCCGCCCTTGTCGGCAATTCGGCGGCGGGGGGGTCCTTCCGCGCTCCCGGTCTTCGGGGCACTTCAGCGGCGGGTCCCGGAGCGAGTGAAGGACCCGCCGCAGAATTGCCGACGACGACCGGGAGCGCAGAAGGACCCCCGCCTAGGGTGCCAAAAACCCTGGCGCCGCTCCTGTCCACGGTCATTATTATTTAGGATTATGAAGCTTTATGGAGACCTAAACAAGCTAAATGGGTTCCTTGGGAGATTTCCCTGAAATATAGACATTCCAATTAAGTGCACCGTAATTAAGAGGAGTAGAAGTTCCTACTAAGGAGAATTGAAGTGTGTGTGGGAAGCCAGGGTCCTTGCTTCTTTAAAGGCGTAAAATGCCCTTTCACCTCAATGCACTTGGATATTTGCTGGCATATTTGTCTTTATTGGACAAGGCTGTGACATCTGTGCTCTGATAGTAGTTGGGGAACGGTTGTGCAATATCATACCAAGAGATCTTATGAACAAAATTGTTGAGTGAAGTTCTACGGCCTGAGTTATGCAGGACGTCAGCCTAGATTACCATAGAATCGTAGAACTGGAAGGGACCTCAAGAGGTCATCTAGTCCAGTCTCCTACACTCAAGACAGGACTAAGTATTATCTAGACCATCCCTGACAAGCGTTTGTCCAACCTGCTCTTAAAAATCCCCAATGATGGAGATTCCACAACCTCCCTAGGCAATTTATTCCAGTGTTTAACCACCCTGACAGTTAGGAACTTTTTCCTAATGTCCAACCTAAACCTCCCTTGCTGCAGTTTAAACCCATTGCTTCTTGTTCTATCCTTAGAGGCTAAGGTGAACAAGTTTTCTCCCTCCTCCTTATGACACCCTTTTAGATACCTGAAAACTGCTATCATGTCCCCTCTCAGTCTTCTCTTTTCCAAACTAAACAAACCCAATTCTTTCAGTCTTCCTTCATAGGTCATGTTTTTTAGCCCTTTAATCATTTTTGTTGCTCTTCTCTGGACTTTCTCCAATTTGTCCACATCTTTCCTGAAATGTGGCGCCCAGAACTGGACACAATACTCCAGTTGAGGCCTAATCAGCACGGAGTAGAGCAGGAGAATGACTTTTCGTGTCTTGCTTACAACACTCCTGCTAATACATCCCAGAATGAGGTTTTCTTTTTTTGCAACACTGTTACCCTGTTGACTCATGTTTAGCTTGTGATCCACTATCGCAGTTGTTCCTTTGGCCCTTAAAAATCTCCGAAGCGACGAGCTCTTGAATTCATTGGAGTTGCTTCAGATTTACTCCTGGGCGTAAACGGGGTCAGAATCTGAGCATTATTAACAACTCCTCTTTCAAAACTTAAGAACACCATTCATCTGACCCTACTCAGGCCCGACACACTTTAATCATGGTGGTAGTTGTGCCTAAGGACTGGACAAAGACAGTCATCCCTGGAAGCAGAAGGGTGGCCAAGCAGGTCTGTTCCGAAACAAAAAATACCAATGGTGCTGTCTCAGCAGCTATAACTTTCCGACTTAATTCCCCTCAGCGTGGAAAATGAAAGGCTGTTTGTGCAGAGTTAAAAGCAAACCCCGAGGGAGCCCTTGGATTTTTTTTTTTTTTTTTAAATAATCTCTGCTCTGAAAAATACAGGTTGGAAAATTCTGGTCAGCTTTATGAGTTTCTAGGTTGCCAGGATATTATGTTCCAGGTCAGCCCAGTGATTAGCGGGTTGGGAAAGATGGGCCACTGCCAGGCATACCAAACCGATTAATTCAGCCAAAGGATCTGAGACCTTCTGTGACCAAGCCCAGCTCTTCAAACAGATAAAAAGGGGGAACACTCCAGACCCGAGCGCAGAAGAATCTCTCTCTTCCTTTGCATCTCATCCCAACCGCTCCTCACACCTTGCGATCGGAAGCCATGGCTCAGAAAACCGTCAGCATTAGGTCAGGTGGAGCCACTAGGAATTTTAGTGCCTCCTCCGCCGTTATCCCAGGTAGCCGAACCAGCTTCAGCTCCGTCTCTGTTTCCCGGGGAGGTGGCGGAGGTCTGGGAAGGGTCTGTGGTGGTGGTTTTGGCAGCAGGAGCTTCCATGGTCTAGGTGGAAGCAAAAGAATTTCCGTTAGCGGAGGCTATCGCGCTGTTAGATCTGGATATGGTTATGGGTTAGGTTACGGTGGGGCTGGGTATAGGATTGGCGGAGCTGGATATGGGTTTGGTGGTGGATTCGCACCCGGCGCTGGTGGCATCCATGAAGTCACTGTCAACCAGAACCTCCTGGCGCCCCTCAACCTGGAGATCGACCACACCATCCAGAAGGTGCGGAAGGAGGAGAAGGAGCAGATCAAGACCCTCAACAATAAATTTGCTTCCTTCATCGACAAGGTAAGGCATGATCAGCTTCATCCGTGAAGCCTCTCCTGGCATGCACGCCATTGGCTAGTCAAGATATGTTAAATGTTCTATGATTCATATTGTTCTCCGTTAGGAGTGACAAAATCTTCAGTCAGTTCATATCTGGGTTTTCATTCTGCACCCTGGTCAGATCCAGGGCATTAGTTCCACCTGCTACAAGGTTCCGGCTAACCATGAAATATGGATTTCGATCCTTCATCGTCCCGTCTCTCAGAGTTCTGTAGCATTTGCATAGGAAGTGCAAGATTCTTGAAATTTTCTACTCACACACTTAGCTGGGGAAAATAATTTTGTTCTTTAAAACAGACAAGTTAAAATAGCATTACCATCTTGGAGAAAGCAGGCAAGTAGATTTTGTGCCAGGGCTGGTCCATTTCCATTATACATTTGCACGGCTGTGCATCTCTCTGAGCCTGTTTTCTTGCAACAAAAATACATTGTCTAACAATTTGCATAAGACTATTGATTGAACGTGAAGTTTAAAACAAATTGTAGTGCCTCGCTTTTAAGTCCCACCTAAAATAGCATATTTATTATTTATTAAGCACCCAAAAATGTGAATAAGATGTAAAGGAAGATAAGGACGCAGTCCCAAGAGCTCAAAATGTAAAATATTTCCTGATGCTACAGTGTTGTTGTAGCTGTGTCAGTCCCAGGATATTAGAGAGACAAGGTAGGTGAGGTAATATCTTTTATTGGCCCAACTTCTGTTGATGAGAGAGACAAGCTTTTGAGCTTATGCAGAGCTCTTCTTCGGGTGACAATAGAGCTCGGTGTAGATTGTCTTTGTCACCGACATAAGTTGGTCCAATAAAAGATATTATCTCACCCCCCTTGTCTCTCTACTGGCACGACAATATACACACATTTATCTAGACAGATAGAAACAATTGACTATTAGCCCCCGTTTTTCTGACTTGTGTGGTTGTGTATTAGATGTACATGCCCATTTAAAGCCATAATGCACGTAAGACAAAGTCCCGGACCAGAAGACCTTCAAGTCTAGTTCATAAGAAGCGTGGCTGAGGTTTTATCTTGTTTTTTTGGTAAGCTGATGAGGCTACTTCAAATGCTTCGGTATTGTGTCTGCTGGGATTCAGGTCCGGTTCCTGGAGCAGCAGAATAAGGTGCTGGAGACCAAATGGTGCCTGTTGCAGGAGCAAAAAACCGCGAAAAGTAATATTGAACCCATGTTTGAGGCTTACATCAATAATTTGAGGAGGCAACTAGAAGCTCTTGGAGGTGAAAGACTTCGGCTGGATGGAGAGCTGAAGAACATGCAGGACACCGTAGAAGATTTCAGGATCAGGTAAGATAAACTGGAAGGAATTATATTCTGCTACGCAATACTATGCTATTGTACTCAAATTCTTATGCCACACCCATTGGTGTCGTACCAAAAAACAAAGGCCAGGTCTGCGCTACAAACTTATACTGGCATCATTACGTCACTCAGTGACTATCTGGGAGCTAAGTTCTTTTGAAAATCTGGCCCTTAGTCAATGTGAGTTTTGCTATTGATTTCAGCAGAGCCAGGATTTCGCCATTAGTATTTCAGTGGTTAGTAGGGGGTATCCATCTGATCCCTTCTTTATTGTGTTCCAGTCGTACCTTGGACATGCAGCTCTCAAGCATCTTTTGTAATGGGAATCAGTGAACATAGAGCTAAAAATTGTGGATCTAAACCCAGAAGAACTAGGGGCTGGAACTTGGAATGGACTGTTGTTCGTAATAATAAGATGCACTTTCTGCAATCTAGTCCCTCTAGCCTATGCTAGTCAATTTCCCTCCTCTAGTGCAGCATGCCTAGAGGTAGCGATGGGAGGAGCGCTAGTGCAGACAGAGCACCAGTGTTTCAACTCACCGTGTCATCCCACTAGGATTAGATGGCACGATGGTTAAACAGCTGGTGGCTGGTCTGTATTAGAGCTGTCACCAGTTATCACCAGTAAAGGTGCAATGGTAGCAGGAAATTGTAGGAAGTGACGTCTAGAGAAGAGGTTCTCAAACTGAGGGGTGGGCCCCTTTGGGGGGGGTGTGCTGAAAGTATTCGGGGTGGTGGTGGAACTTACTGCACACATTTTACCCATAGCAATGAATAGGGGTCTACTTATATTGTGGAAAAACCACACATTTTTTTGTGGGTTGGTCAGGGCATAAAGAGCGGATGTGTTCATACAGTTGTATGTTCCATGCCACCCTTACTTCTGTGCTGCTGCTGGCAGCGGCGCTGCCTTCAGAGCTGGGCACCAGGCACTCTCTGCTCTCAAGGGTGGAGGGGACATAAAATACTACAGACATAAAGAAGGGGAGAGCAATCAAATAAGTTTGAGAACCACTGGTCTAGAGTAGATACTGTCTGCAACAGAGCAGAAGTGATGGACTTTAAGGAGGGTTCTTGCATTCATTATGAAGTCTGCTGGGGTCAATGCAGGAATTACTGTGTGAAATTCTATGGTTTGTGTGTCTCAGAAAGTTGAACTTAACCATCACAATGAACCCTTCAGGCCTTGAAATCTATGAATCTCGGGATCCGTTTCCAGGGATGGACCGCACAGTCCCAAGGGTTCACTGTGGCCCCCATTCAGGAAGTACTGAGCATGCTCACACGGACTGAGCATGCTCAGTAACACAGCTGAAGCCGGTTGCCCTCACTCCCCCACTCTCAGCAGGCACGGGTCGTCTCTGAGGAAAGCATGTGCATAAGTGCTCTGCTTAATAGGGATGACTTTGGAGCCCCTATCCTGAAATTATCCCCCAGAATCTCTGGCTAACGAGAAAAGGCTGTGGCTTGTTTCATGGGTGTACATGGAGGTGGGGAGTTGAAAGGAGCATGGGAGATGATTGCTCTCCTTGTCGATTTTTATTTTAGTGGGTTTTGGGGGGCGTTGTTCGGTTGACTTTTTTTTAACAAATTTGTCCCACAACAAGAAATACATACTCAGTTTGGCTTTTACAAAAAATAGGCACGTGCTGAATGAATTTTCCTTGTGTAGCAGCTAAGGCCTGGTCTACACTGGGGAGGGGGGATCGATCTAAGATACGCAACTTCAGCTACGAGAATAGCATAGCTGAAGTTGACATATCTTAGATCGACTTACCTCCCATCCTCACGGTGCGGGATCGACGGCCACGGCTCTCCCGTCGACTCCACTTCCGCCTCTCGCCCTAGTGGAGTTCCGGAGTCGACGGGGAGCGCGTTCGGGGATCGATTTATCACGTCTAGATGAGGCACGATAAATCGATCCCCGATAGATCAATCGCTACCCGCCGATCCGGCAGGTAGTGTGGCCGTACCCTGCGATACATAGAAACCTATGCAGGCTGCAACTTTGTTCAGTCATAATGCCATCTAATGGGTGTTGTATTCCCGAGGCGGGGGCGTCTGAAATCCGTGAAGAGTCAGGCCTGCCTGACTTGTTTTATTAGCTGCACAAAATCTCTCTTTAAATTGTAGCTCTTAATCTCCCCCCAATGAATTAATTTATGGCGGGCTGGGCAGCCGTCCGTGTTTACTGTTAGCCTTTATACTCCTGCAAGTGCTCAGTGGTACCGCTATGTCCTACCAAACCGGAGAGTCAAATCCTGGACTCAGACTCTGGATTCTTCATGTACCAGAGATATGCATTGGGCAAGAGTCTGCCCTCAGACCCCCTGCATTTGCGGCTCCACTGAAGTCAACAGGACGACAGGCATCAGTGCAGAATCCGGCCCCTGCTGACTAACGCAGGTGTGGCACGGATGAGCTCAACCAGGGCTCCTCCCACCCCTTCCAGCCTGAGAAAAGTTACAGGGATTACAAGACTTCTTTCATGCAGGATGGAAAATTAGAGGAGGATAAAACATGCCTTTAATGAAGGGCTTGCAGGTTCTCTGATGACATCCATCCATTGTCTGGCCCCAGGGTACCGTATTTGCAACTAGGCTGGTCCTATACGCCTGCCACAATACAGGCAGAAGACACACAACATCATCCTGCTGCTCCTTCTGATGTCCCAGGAGACCTGTTCCCAGCTGGTAAACGGTCTCTCAGAACAGGCTCTGTCAATTTCATGGATAGCCACTGTTAATATCTTGGCCATTAGTAACAACCGCCCAGGATATGCAAGGAAAAATATGTGGCAAGGGCTCGCAGAGGACAGGCAGTGGATACTAAATGGTTATACTTACACCAGCTGTAACAAGGCTCCTGTCTCCCCTTCTTCCCGCCCAGGTACGAAGATGAGATCAACAAGCGCACGGCTGCAGAGAATGAGTTTGTGGTGCTCAAGAAGGTAAGAGATCTCGATGAAAAAGGAACAGGGGACTTATTTTTAAAAAGGAATCTCTGATAGCAGCCTTCAATTACCTGAAGGGGGTTCCAGAGAGGATGGAGCTCGGCTGTTCTCAGTGGTGGCAGATGACAGAACAAGGAGCAACGGTCTCAAGTTGCAGTGGGGGAGGTCTAGGGTGGATATCAGGAAACACTATTTCCCTAGGAGGGTGGTGAAGCACTGGAATGGGTTACCTAGGGAGGTGGTGGAATCTCCATCCTTAAAGGTTTTTAAGGCCCGGCTTGACAAAGCCCTGGTTGGGATGATTTAGTTGGGGTTGGTCCTGCTTTGAGCAGGGGGTTGGACTAGATGACCTCCTGAGGTCTCTTCCACCCCAAATATTCTATGAATCATTTGCATTTGTTTTACCCTTTCAACCCTGAGAGATCAAAGGGCGCAGCGCTCCCCCCACCATCCTCGCTGGAACCCTTCTTTTAGGCAAAGCTGGCGGACCGGTCTGCCTCTCCTTCTGCCATCCAGCCAGGATAATGATGTGCCTCTGGATCAGCCAACAGCACCAGAACTTCCTCTCCTAGGGCCTGACCCGAAGCCCAGGGACACTGAATCAGCCCCAGCTGTTAACCCTACCCTGGCTGTTCTGCCGCTTCTCAGATTGACACTACCCCCATCTCTCCATGCATATTTAGAGCATTTACCCCCTCCCATCCAGCCAGCCATGCGCTCCCCAACACACACAGCCCCTGTCCGGCAATGGCTAGAAGTTAACCTAGGAGCTGGGAGACCCAGCTTCAACTCCCTGCTCTGTTTCTTGGGGAGGTCACCTAGGCCCGAATGCGCAAAAGGAGTTAGGTGCCTACGGACCAGTTTAGGGACAATTCCCGCCGAGCCCCGTAGGCGCCGAAACTCACTCGGCGCCGAAACGTTTGAGGTGAAACCGAACCGATGTTTCTGCTGTTGAGCGAGCGCACGGCTCACTCCTGCTGGCCGCCCCGGAGCCTATCTCCCGCCTAAGACCTAGAGCGATTCACAGACCGGGGGACAACAGGCGTTCGGCGGCCCTAAGTCACGTGACAGGGCCCGATACGATAGGCCTCCTCTAGTTCACATAAAACAGCTGGGGAGGGAGACCTCCCTCCTAGCTTTTAGCCCACTGGTTAAGGAAGGTGGGAGATCCCCAATTCAGGTCCTACCTCATCTGAGGGGGGAGAAGTGATTTGAAGAGGGAACTGCTGCCTCTCAGGTGAGTGCCCTAACCACTGAGTTACAGGATATTCTGACCTAGGGCTCCCTTACTCTCTCCTGGGAGCAGGGGAACTGGGTCCTGGGGTGCCCACCTCCCAGGTAAGTCCTCTACTCACCAGGCTAGAGTCATCCTCCTGCTTGTGCGTGAGCTCTCTTGCTCTTTCTCTCTCTCTCACGCCTTCTTAGGCTACGTCTACACCAGGGGTCGGCAACCTTTCAGAAGTGGTGTGCCGAGTCTTCATTTATTTACTCTAATATAAGGTTTCGCGTGCCAGTCATACATTTTAACGTTTCTAGAAGGTCTCTTTCTCTAAGTCTATAATATAGAACTAAACAATTAATGTATGTAAAGTAAATAAGGTTTATAAAATGTTTAAGAAGCTTCATTTAAAATTAAATTAAAATGCAGAGCCTCCCGGACTGGTGGCCAGGACCCGGGCAGTGTGAGTGCCACTGAAAATCAGCTCGCGTGCCGCCTTCGGCACGCCTGCCATAGGTTGCCTACCCCGGTCTACACTGAACACCACTTGCGGCGGTGTATAGGGGACCTGTAGCTACACGCCGCAGCGAAGAGCAGGCTGCATCCCCACCGTGGCGTAAAGCTGGGTGTGTCAGTGAAAGGCTCTGGTGGGGGGAAGCCCCAGGGAGCTGCCGGAGCCTTTCCCCGCTGCCAGAGTCTTTCCCTGAGGTGGGGAAAGGCTCCAGCAATGGGGCGGCAGCTGCAGGATACTACACTGCTAAAAACAGCCATGTAGACGGGGGAGGCACTGCTTGGGCAGGTAGAGAACCTGTAGGGGACATACCTGTGCACATACCTACAGGGCTCAGGCGTGTCTTTACGCACCTAAGCAGGACCTTACCATGTACCCTGCAATTTAGACCTGTGCAGGGGGAGATGGGATGTGGAGTGTATGTACTCTAAGTGCCGCCAAAAGCAGGATGCAGTGTAGACACACCTTCAAAGAGTCAGAATCATCTGCGCATCACGATGGCTAACTCCTTTTGTGCCTTCAGGCCTTAGTGGCTCTGTGCCTCAATTTTCCAGCTGTGAAATGGGGATAGCGCTTCCCCATCTCATAGGGACACTGTGAGGCTAACTACATTAAAAGACTGTGAGGTGCTCCGTAACCTTGGTAACGGCAGCCATGTAAGTCCCTTAGGTCCTGAACAATCCAGGGGGCAATAGCCAAAGGTGCGTAAGGGAATTCAGTGCCCAGCGCCAATGGGATTTGGGTGTCTAACTCCCTCGGATTTCTTTGGAAATTCCATTCAATAGCTACAGGGAAGCTCTTTTATGGGGCCTGGGGCTGTGGGGAAAGAGACTGTTTAGAGCCGCTCAACATTTTGTCCACCGAAAGCTTTTTCATCCAAAACCCACAGAGATCAGAACGCCCATACATCTGGGTTGTTCTCCGGCAGCTTGTGTTAAAGCCCTGCTGGCCCTCATCGGGGAAAACAGCTGTGCGATGTTTGGCTAGACCATCTCTGTTCCTATGTTTTCAGGATGTGGACATTGCCTACATGAACAAGGTGGAGCTGGAGGCTAAAGTGGACGCCCTGACTGATGAAGTTAACTTCCTGAGAGCTCTCTATGAAGCAGTAAGGACCATTCTAATTTTCCCAAGTCTCCTGGGGCAAACATAATGCCATTTTTCTCACACACACACACACACACACACAGAGAAGCCAATTTCACATCAGAGAGAATCAAACCACTCAGAAATACATGCTCATAGCCATGCGTGGAGTTTATAGGGCCGTGGTTCCCTTTATGTTGGTGTTTTACCATGCAACGTTTCTGTGAAGAAGACTCAAAACAGGAGAGGAGGCGAGATCCAGACCCACAATGTCATTTTTCTTTGATTTCCAGGAATTAGCTCATTTGCAGTCGCAAATCTCTGACACTTCTGTCGTCCTTTCAATGGACAACAGCCGAAATCTGGACCTGGACGGCATCATTGCAGAGGTCAAAGCTCAGTACGAGGATATTGCTAATAGGAGCCGAGCTGAGGCAGAGTCTTGGTACCAAACCAAGGTGAGTGGCACTGGAGTTCTGAGAGTTTGGACTATGATATTCATCACTAGGTTTGGTGGAGAGATGTTCGTCAAACCAGTTTTCTGTGGAAAAGTGTCGTTTCAACCAAAGCGAACATTTCCGCAGAATTGTTATCGATCCAGACAACATTTTTAAAAAAAGAATCGGAGGGAAAAGTTTCAACATTTTCAGAACACATTTTGATTTTGAAATGACTTCTTGTTTCAAATTTATGTTATTTTATTGCTTAAAAATAATTTAAAAGGGGGTCAAAATGGAAACGAAACATTGAATTCATCGAAGCTGACCCAAAACACAATGGGGGGGGCATTTGGGGGTGAAAAATTTTGAAATTTTGACTTTTTGCCCCAATTCAGGACAATTCTGTAGTGGTTGTTTTTAAGCTCAAAAGTTTTTGCAGGATGGAAAAGGACGCCCCAAGAACAGACCTAGGGTTTCACATGGCGATGTACACATGGAGGCTATCGCATCCTGCCTTTCACACCGTCACCCTGATATTGATATTTTTAGCATGCTAACTTGATCAGAGCTAGAGCGGGTATGTCTACCTGAGCTGGAAACTACACCCCCAGTGTAGATACTCCCTTAGGGTATGTCTACACTACAGGATTAATCCGAATTTAGATAATTCGAATTTGGGAAACAGGTTGTATAAATTCGATTGTGCGCGGCCACACTAAGCACCTTAATTCGGTTTTTAACCACATTAATTCGGTGGTGTGCGGCCACACTACCCCATTAACTTAAACACAGTAATTCGGTTGTGTGCGTCCACACTAACCCTAATTCGAATTAACAAAATCGATTTAGGCTCTACTCCGTTTGTCGAGGTGGAGTACAGAAATCGATTTAAAGGGCCCTTTAATTCGAATTAACTGGCTCTGTAGTGTGGACGGGTGAAGGGTTAATTCGGATTAACGCTGCTAAATCCGAATTAATCCCGTAGTGTAGACCAGGCCTTAGAAACCCATTTCACCTCCTTGCCATATGGACCTTGAATTTCTTACTGGGACAGGGGAATGGTGAAATGCGTTACAGTTTCTAAGCAAGAACTGAATTTTAGGATATATCTACATTTGGGCCTGGGCTGTGATTCCCAGCTCATGTAGACATACTAACCCACCTGGAACCTGTGGGTACATACTCGGGGCAGCTAGCCCGGGCCACCATTGCCACTGCCCTTGTGACCCCAACAACACTCCTATTTTTAGCACACCAGCTCAATGCAAGCTAGCGCAAGTATGTCTATGCAAGCTGGGAATCACACCCCTAGCTCCGAGCGTCAATGTAGCTACACACAAAGGAAGAGGTGGAAGAAATCGGTTCCCTTCAATAGTTTCCAGTGGCTCACTGTGACCCCCTATGATGCCGATTTCACCCTCCTCTCCATGTCTGACTCTGCCACCTCTATTCCCCCTGTCTATCACAGTATGAGGAGCTACAGCTGACCGCTGGCAGACATGGGGACGACCTGCGGAACACCAAGATCGAGATCTCCGAGATGAACCGCATGATTCAGAGGCTCCGCTCTGAAATTGACAATGTGAAGAAGCAGGCACGTCCGCGTGATGGTTACATTCTGGGACGTGGGCGGAGGGGAAGGAGGGATCTCAGAATTTCAGGACTGGAATCCCTCCTAGGAATCCAAGACTGCCTTAGCAGCAGCTCCATGCTACCAGGGGTGTGAGAGGCTGGAGCATGCTGTCCTCCAACAATAACGGGCACTGTGGGCCGCTGGCCTGGGACTCAGGAGAGATGGGTTCAAATCCTGACTCTGTCACTGGCCTGTGGGTGACCTTGGGCAAGTCATATCATCTTTCTGCTTCAGTTTCCCCTTCTGTAAAATGGGAATAACAACCCTCACCTCCTGTGTAAAGGGCTTTGAGAACTACTGGGGAAAAAGCACAATATAAGAGGTAAGGATTATTATGATGATGGTCCCGAGGGGTGTTACAAAACAAAATAAGTTACAGTCCTGAGATTGTTCTAGGGGGCAGGCACTGGAGGGGGTGTCAAGCCTAGAGATCTAGGGAGTGCAGAGGTGGCTTAAAGGCACCAAATGGAGATCTGGGTCAATCTCTTTAACCCTGAGTTTCATACTGAGTCGAGAGATACATACACACAGTTCAACGATTCAGGCTGCAACCTTTCTGCAAGCATTCTTGCCATCTCTGATTGGTCCCACTGAAGTGATCAGGCTGGTAGATTGCAAATTCACACGTGCTCCCAATGGGGTTCATTCACCGTACGCATTTCCTACCTTCGCAGTGCGCCAGTCTGCAGACAGCCATTGCCGATGCCGAGCAGCGCGGCGAACTAGCCCTTAAAGATGCCCAGGCAAAACTGGCTGAGCTGGAGGAAGCCCTGCAGAAGGCCAAGGCAGACATGGCGCGTCAGCTGCGGGAGTACCAGGAGCTGATGAACGTCAAGCTGGCGCTGGATATCGAGATCGCCACCTACAGGAAACTGCTGGAAGGAGAGGAGAACAGGTGGGTGGTATATACATTAGAGCTGGCTGAAAAAAATGCCTTAAAACATTTTTGGACAGAAAATGGCTTCTCGGTTTAAATATTTGAAAAAAAAAATCAGTTTTTGTCCAAAAAAACCCCCAAAGTCCAAAAATTTCAATTGCCGAAAAGGAAATATTTTCACATTCCCACTGAAAATTCCAAAAAAATTCAGTGGGGGGGGGGATCGAGGGGAGGAAGATTGGTCTGGGGATGAAGTAAGCAAAACCCTGAAGAGTCTCAGAGACATTTTTTGTTAAAATGGGGAAAGGGTTCGTTTTTGTTGAATTTTTTTGGCAGGGAAAAAGACATCATTTCTCACCAGCCAGCTCTAAAAGGCAGCCCTCCAGTCTGCAACAGGAAGAGGAGTTAATTAAGGCCTGTGAATGTGGGACACAATTCGATGCTCAGAGGATGAGATTGAATCCAGATCAGATGGCCAAAAATATTGCATGTGCACCACTTAAGCCACTCAGGGTATGTCTACACAGCAACTAGACACCCGTGGCTGGCCAGTTGACTCAGGTTCATGCGGCTTGGGCTGTGGGGCTGTTTTGTTGATGTGTAGACATCTGGGTTCCGGCTGGAGCCTGGGCTCTAGGATTAGGAGGCAATGAAATAGCCCTACAGCCCGAGCCCCGTGAACCCAAGTCAGCTGGCATGGGCTGATCACAAGTTTTTCTTTGCTGTGTAGACATATCCTTAGGTGTTACATAGGTCTTTGGCACTGGCCCTCTGCCCCGTGGTGAATTTCACCACTTAGGGACAGATCTTCCACTGATGTAAACATTAGTGTACATCAGCTGAGGTTCTGGTCCTAAAACTGTATTTCAAATTTCAAACATAGAATGTAGTGATCTTCCTACAAGTTAATGGGTATCGTTTGTGTCTGAACTTACCAAGGAAGACAGGTCTTACTGTAGTGCTAAATGTCTTAGCCTTCTAAATGACTCAGTACCACAATCCGGGGGGGGCAAATTGCTTATAACAATCATAATAACACCTTTCTTCCCCCCCCCCCCCCCCGCAACAGGCTAGCTGGAGAAGGTGTTGGTGCAGTGAACATCTGTAAGTATTCTGGCTCTCAAATGCTAGACGCTCAATGAGATGACAACTCAAAGAGAGTCGTTATTCCTAGGGAGAGCTAGGGTTTGCTGATAGTGCAGAGCACAAAGGGATGGCAATCAATTGTTCTCCATGTCCACTGAAAGTAGGACAAGATGTAACGGGCTTAATTTGCAGCAAGAGAGATTGAGGTTAGACATTAGGAAAAACTTTCTGATTATAAGGGTAGTTAAGCTCTGGAATAGGTTTCCAAGGGAGGATGTGGAATCCCCGTCATTGGAAGTTTTGAAGAACAAGTTGGACAAGCCCCTGTCAGGGATGATCTAGGGTTTCATCCCCTAGGGGGAGGGATAGCTCAGTGGTTTGAGCATTGACCTACTACACCCAGGGTTATGAGTTTCATCCTTGAGGGGGCCATTTATGGATCTGTAGCAAAAATCTGTCTGGGGTTAGTCCTGCTTTGAGCAGGAGGTTGGACTAGATACCTCCTGAGGTTCCTACCAACCCTTATATTCTTTAGTCCTGCCTCAGCACAGGGGCTGGACTTGATGACCTCTCAAGGTCCCTTCTCACCCTACATTTTTATGATTCTATATGAGGCTGCAATGGTAGCAGATATCAGAGGGGTAACCATGTTAGTCTGTATCCACAAAAACAACGAATTGTTTTTGTGAATTCATTGTTTTTGTGGATACAGACTAACTCTGATACTTGGTACCATGCAAGGTAGCAGATACGTAATGCATTCAGGGTTTTGCAGCTCTGTATGGCACTGTTGAGACAGCAGCACCCCGAATATTTCTCTTAGGTCCGGTCTTGAACCTGAGAATGTCTCATCATGTATTTGGAGTGCAAATCACTCTTGTGCAAAGGGGCAAGCACAAGGCACGTGAACCTCCTAAATCCCACAAAAGTGGTGCGGAGTCTCTCTCTGTCAGAGTGTGAACAGTAGTGATTTCCACCCTTGGGCCTACGGAAGGCAGTGAGAATACTCGTGTGAGAAAGGGCTACTATCAGTGGAATGGAATGCAAGGGTCTTGCCCCGAGAGCACCTTTTGTGACCAGAAAGACATCAACAAACCAACAAGAATCCAGAATTAGACCCAAGGTCTGGAGGGTAAAGATTGAAAGACCGAAATGGGTCCTATTCTGCTCTCAGTGACAGCAGGAGTAACGCCATTGAGGTTAGCAAAGTCATAAAATCAGTATAAATGGGAAGAATTGGGGCCGTACTACATCGTTTGGCCCAACAACTGGTAAGGCGAAAACGCAGGGGAAGCATATGGGTCCATCTCAGAGAGACAGGTACTTGTAGACCAGGAAAGGAGAAGGGTTAAATTAAATGAGCAAAGGGGAAACTAAGGGAAGGCAAAATTAGAAGGCCTGATTTCAACGGGATTTAGTAACCCGCCCCCTGCAGGGGGAGAACAGAGATTCTGCGTGAGTATTAGGCAACTGCATAAGAGTGAAACATACTAGACAGTGGGAGGATCTCCAAGGGAACTGGTGGAAACCCCCCAGCTTCAGCCGTTTGAAACAAAAGGTTTGCCTTTTCTTCTGTGACTGGCAGGCTGCTGCTCCAGGCCATCTAAACCTCTGCTTTCTTCTGCTTCACAGCTGTGGTCACCTCGGCCGGTGGAAGTAGCTACGGCACTGGGGGTGGGATGGGCCTGGGGGTCGGGCTGGGAAATGCAGCCGGACTCAGCTACGGCATTGGAGGAAGCAGCTTCAGCGCCAGCAGCGGGAGGGGTCTGGTGGGAGGATTCAGCGCCGGAGGGGGAAGCAGCTCCAGCATGAAGATCGTCTCAAAAACCACCTCCACCAAAAAGAGCATCCGCAGCTAAAGTGCCGACCGAGCCCCCAATTCACCCCAGCCTGAAGAAATATGACACTGCCTCCTCATGGCAGCACAGCCCAAACCATCTCCAAGGCACAGGCTTGCAGGGGAGGACAAGATCCCATTAAATACCATTTAAGAGCTGCATGAGTCACATTCCCGTTAGGGGAGGCATTATTGGCTTTAGGAGGACGAGCCCTTTCTCCACACCGCTTAACTCACAGGCGTAGCGCATCAAACCCCAGCCTTAACGGCGTCATGCAAATTCTGAATGAATAATCGGCCCTGCTGGTTAACGAGTTCCAGGGCGGCAGAACTTGGCTCATCGAAATTAACAGATTTTGATCCTATTCCTGTTCTTGCTTGGATCAGTGTAAATCCGGACTAACGCCAAATCCAGATTTACACCAGTGTAACGGAGAGCCGAAACTGGCCCTATGCCTGGCTACATGTAAACGTTTTTTCTCTAAATAAACATCAGGCTTGCCTAGTGAGTCATGTTTCCATCTTTGTGCTCCATATTAGTCAACCAACAGAGACCTCTCTCTCCCCCTAGTGCTTGGGAGGTGCAATATCTCTCACCAGTGGGTTTGGCGAACAGGTGTGTTACATCTAGTCAGAGGCAGTCTTAATATTTCTGAGTTCATCTTGCTCCTCCATATCCCCTTTCTCTCTGGGGTATTTCTCTCACACTCCCTGCATCATATAATACAGTCTTCGTTTCCACTGGTTCGTCTTCTATACTAGACAACCGCTTGCTTAATAGTCAGTGGATCCGCTACTCAGTCCTCGTAACTCACGCCTATATCCAATGGGGCATTAGCACCAACCCAGCCACAGTTTTCTAGGTCCTGTGGAAACCTCACAATTGAATCAAGCTCCTCTCTGTCAGCCAGGAGAGCATGAACATGAAGTAGAGATGACACAAGATCTATGGTTTATATGTGCACAGTAACAAATACGCAGAAACTAAAGGGTGAACATTATGCTTTGGTGACCGTTATGAGCTGTATCACATGTAAACAATGTCTGTAGCTCATTGCCTGTGTTCTTCGCTTGTGTTTTTATGGGGGGGGGGGGCGGAAGGGGGAGGAAGGTTCCAAGCTTTTATGTACCATGATCCCCATTACCACCGTTCCTATTACTTTATGCTTGTTGTGAACTATCCTGATTTCATGAAACTTCTTCAATAAACTGCAATCAACCTATCTGTCTGCAATGTGGCTTTATGCTCTATTATGCAATTTACTCAAAAGCCTAACTTTATAACAAGTTTTATAAGACTGGCCCGCCTCACAGATGGAATTATTCATTACTTCCTATATTTCCCTCCTAGCTACTGCAGTCTGAGAGACAGAGTTAAGCCTAAGGTAGCATTTAAATATTTGGTGGGAATTTTCCCTCTCTGCCTATCCTGCCTTTTCTACTTCTCAATTCAAAGCCACTGCAGCTGTTTGGCCATTAAATTCATGTCAAGCACTTTTAGTGATGCTCCTGTTCACTCCCTGGCTGTGTTCAGCTTCATGAATGTTCTGATCTGCATAAGAGTTAATTAACCAGAAGGACTCCTTCAAAAGATTGCCTTCTAGCAGAAGAGCGAGGGGCCCTGCAGGAGTCCCTAAAATCCCAGCTGCAAAGATGGAGGACCTGATTCTGATCTCACACCAGTCTAACGCCATTGACTTCAATAAAGTTATTCCTAAGTCAAACTGGTGTCAAGTAGCAGTTTCACTCCATTGACTTTCATGGAGTCACTCTTGGTTTACATACGTGTAAATGGGCTATGACTTCACTGGAGTTACTCCTGATTGACATTAGTGTAAGGGTATGTCTACACTACCCGCCGGATCGGCGGGTAGTGATCGATCTATCGGGGATCGATGTATCGCGTCTCGTCTAGACGTGATACATCGATCCCCGAACACGCTCCCCGTCGACTCCGGAACTCCACCAGGGCGAGAGGCGGAAGCGGAGTCGATGGGGGAGCGGCGGCCGTTGATCCCGCGCCACGAGGACACGAAGTAAGTCAATCTAAGTCCATCTAAGATACGTCGACTTCAGCTACGCTATTCTCGTAGCTGAAGTTGCGTATCTTAGATCGATCCCCCTCCGCCCCCCGTGTAGATCAGGCCTTAGTGAGTTCAGTAGCAGAACTCGCTACTTGTACACAAATGCCAAACGTGGGTTGTGTGGTTAACACACAGAGCAAAGCCAAACGAGGTCACAGTGCAGTCTGGGGACTATGGTGTGACAACACGATCCCTGCCTTGATATAAATGTCTGTGTAGATGGTCCCTGTTTAGGTTCACTCATTTGTGAAAGAGAGGAAATGAGAGCACACGAGAAAAATTGAAGAAAGCAGGAGCAATGGTGGGAAATGACAAATAAGAAAGAAATAGGGATGAAGCGAGAGAAATTGGCACCTGTAAACAGATGCAGAACCCACAGCCCCCCTCCCCACAGCCCCTGACTGTGGAAAAAGGGGGGGGCCTGAAAAGATTGGGGACCCATTTTAAACACTGTATAAGTGAGACAAAAGACGCCTGACCTCTTGTTCCTATGTCCTACATGGACTGATCTGAAAATAATTAGAGCTGAGCAGAGGATGGAAATTGCATTTCAGGGAGAATTTTGAGATTTCAGAATTTGTCTTTGATCCAGTTAGGAATGAAACCCGAACATTTCTAAATTCACCGCTAAAGCAAATTTGTGAAAAAAACCACCCTGGATCGATCAAAAGGTTTCCGCATCTTAATTTTATATCATAATACAGAGTGCAAAAAGTTTTGAATTTCAAAACGAGAAAGTCACTTAAAAACTAAAAAATCTAAACATTTCCCTTTGTAAATGTCAAAATGGAACATTTCAACATTGTCTCCAGAGCCCAGGAGCTGGAATATTCTATCACTTTGGAGAGGTTCAATCTAGTTTCCAAACTTCACCACCGAACAGAGGAAGTCTGAGAACCTCCCAACTTTGGGAAAACATGACTCTGGATTTGACACCTAAATCCCAGCTCTCTAGCTTGTGTTGAGAGCTAACGTCCATATAACATTTTCCTCTTTAAGGCCTGGTCTACACTTACCCCCCAATTCGAACTAAGGTACGCAACTTCAGCTACGTGAATAACGTAGCTGAAGTTCGAAGTACCTTAGTTCGAACTTACCTCAGTCCACACGCGGCAGGCAGGCTCCCCCGTCGACGCCGCGGTACTCCTCTCGTCCAGCTGGAGTACCGCAGTCGACGGCGATCACTTCCTGGTTCGACTTATCGCGTCCAGACAAGATGCGATAAGTCGAACCCAGAACTTCGATTCCCAGCCGCCGAACTAGCGGCTGGGTGTAGACATACCCTAAGGCTCAAATCCGGAGATCTGTACTCTGCGTCAGCCTGTGCTTTGTCGCTGAATGGGTGTGGAATAAGGAGGCTTCCAGACCACCCCTCGCACAGCTGCTAGGCCCAGCTGCTGTACCTGAGGACAGGGGCTGCTCCCTGCTACCGCCCCCATAAGGGGTGGACAAGGGGAGAAGGGAGGAGGGACCAAATTTCTGTCCCTACTCCTCACTAGCCAGTGAAGTGTCAGGCCACGATGGTCAGGCTCATTCTGACGGGTGACATCCATCATGATGCCAAGTCTGCTAAGAACGGAGCTCACAAGTTTGTGTTGGTTCAGCAGACTTGAACAGGGTTGGTTCAGACAAGCTGATTATCCTGAGCTCTTTCCATGTCTACAGTTATAAACCCAAGAGAGACAGAAAGAAAAAAAGAAAGAAAGCTAATTTCATATCTTTAGTTTTACAGCAGATACCAACTGACTAATACGTGTCTCAGATGTTCCTCAGTATCTTGGGTCCAATCCTGAGAGATGCTGAGCTCCCACAATTCCCGTTGGGCTAAATCACAAGAGGCGTTAATCACATGCAGCTCCTGTTCAACCTCAGCCAGCAAAGGTGCTGAGTAGGAAGGTGCGGAACAGCTCCCTAGTTTGTGCAGGTCAGTTCCAGGAGTCAAAACTGTCACCCTGCCTGCCAATAATTGAGACCTCGTGTGGATGTCAGAAGAATCAGGCCAGGGTTGAACCAGCAGCTGCACAAACATAAAAGCCTGAGACTTTCATGGCCAGATCCTCAGCTGCTGTGAATCACTGAAGTCAATGGAGCTATAGAGATTTTTACCTGCTGATAATCCGGCCCAGTCGATACTGAAACAAAGACCCAACATAAAAAGATTTGTCCGTTTTACCTGTGAAGACTTGACCAAACTTTCTTGTTCCCTCACGCTCTTAAATTCAGATCCCAGTGCAGACAAGCCATCCCAAGCACAAGGATGATTCAAACATTAATTTTACAAAGGTTTGTTTAAAGAAATCCACGAGAAAGCAAATTATGGACCCAATTCTCCCCTCACTCAGCCCAGCTTTACCCTGATGTACTCCCTATGGGCCTGAATTTGCTCTCTTATACTCATGTCAACGGTGAGCAGCTCCACAGATTCCAAGGGAATTACAGGTGTATAAAACCATTGCAAAGGAGAGGACAATCGGGCCTAGTGGTGGAGTTACATCAGATTTACTCTGGTCTAATTGAGATCAGAATCGGACCCATATGATCAAATCACCAGAGTGTTCCCAGGCCTGTGCGGGCAACTTAATAAACAAGTTGCATTTTTTCCCACAAGACAATTACTCCTTTCCTAATTCGCGGTATGCTAAGCCCATCAAAAGCTGGGTTTTGCTTCTCTTTAATCCCTACTATAAAAAAAGGGAGTTTTGCAAGCACAGTTTTTATAGAGCTGGGATTCCCTGCAATGAAACTAGACCGTCTCCTATAACGTATGATAGGTGTGTTTAAGTATAGTTCAAGTTGTTGCTCAGCAAAATGTGCGGTGGGGCTAACACCCCAAGCTCATAAACCTCATCATTATCCAGCCAAGGCCCGTTCGCCTAACAGATAAAAAGGTGAAAGCATCAGTTCTGATTTCAGAGGGATCCACGCTTGGCTACTTTTC